TCGACCGACCATAAGAAGCGAACACAAAATACTCTTACCGTTAATACGCTGAACGTCTGATCCAAAGCCCATTGAAGACGCTCAGTAGCTTTCTGTTGACTTCAATGAGTTGTGGATGAGGCCTCGAGAGCAGCACTTGATAGCTCACTTCTTATCGCGTTGAGCCCTTTTATGTCCTCTGAAAGGTTCATACCAAAGACTTGGAGCAGCTAGGTCTCAGTTGATCAAGCTTTTAAGATATGCTTAATTTTAAGCATAATCAACCCAACGACTTCAAATCCAGTAGGGTATTAGGAGAGAAAGTCTTTCTATCACCACAAATGCAGAAAAATTCCCCCTGGCTCTAAAATGGAATGAAGTCTGATGTACAGTTGTATCATTTTTTCCAGTCAACAACCTACACTCTCGGTTTGGTTACGCTCACTAACCACTGCATGTTGTGGTAGGACAATGAGCCTACCTTGTTTTCTTAAAAAAATGTAATGCCAGGCTGTTTCACTATCACAAATAAATTTACATATAGTGAAACATTCTGTCAGACTAATAAAAAGCATATCTTTGACATTTTTTAATCTTTTTCCAAACTCTTTAAACGTTTAAGCAGACAGCTCATCAATGACATATTGCATAAACGCTTCACTGTTAGTAATTTTTCATGATGAATCTTTAAAGTGCCAGAATATCTGATAAGTTAAATTTTGATTTTCTTTATATGACAAATGTTTAATAGTTGTCTTAGATTCTTTCTGCGCTATGATTTTTATCTGTATTTTATTACGGTAATAATAACATCTAATATACTCTCTCATATCTGTCTTGTTCTTTCTTAAGGTCAAAATTATATCCAGAGCTAAAAGCAGCAAAAGACTTCTTCCTTTCTTCCTCTCAGTACTTTAAGGCAATAAATTACCATCTACATGCAAAGAATAGCAAATTAGGAAATCTAAACATGATACACGTATATACTTTAATACCTGCAGAAATAGCTATCTGAAATATATCAGGGAACCAAGCATTTGTATGTCATTACAACAACTAATTTTCAGTTTTGCAAGTAAATTAGAAGCTATTACATCAGACTATTCACTCACCTTTCTTGCCAATAATCTGTGAAGAAGAAAAAAATGTTAATTCCCTCTTTTCTGTCTTCAGGCAGGTTTCAGTCGTTCATATTTTATCGGATTTGTTCTTCTCATTTTCTCCTAGTGGTGCCTCTTCGCTGCCTCCTTCAAAGGCACAGACCACTTTTAGGGCGCAGAGGAGCAAAGGCAACGTGCAATAACTTGCACGGCCCTTTGCACGGTGCCCTTCCAGGGGTGAGGATGGGGATGCAGCACATGCTCCGGCAGCTGCAGGGCTGTGACAGCCTGACTCCAAGGCTCAGGACAGGCTGGCTGCTGGAAATAATGACTTCTGTGCTCCAAGATGGCTCTCACAGGCACCCATTACTGGACGCTTATGTCCAAAGCCCCTCAAGGTAGGTACAAGTTAGAGCAAAGTAGGGTAAAATGATCCCTATGAATTCAGGGATTCTGCATCTCCTTTAAATGCATTTTAATGTGTTTTAACAAAGGATACATGATCATAAAAGAAGGAAATACACAGTATTACTAGCTGAAGATCGAATAAACTGTATCAGCAGCACTTTGAAGGTGTAGGGGATGCCTCTCACTCAGCCTCCTTAGGGAACGAGCATCCCACCCGTTTGCTTGGCAGTAGCTGGAGTAATGGTCAATGAAGCTGAAAACAGCTCATAAACCTGGGGATTGGCTTGGCTGTGAGATCCAGAGGGCTTCCTGGGGGTTAGGAAATGAACACGGCATTAGGGTGCTTGGTGCCGTGCTGAAGGTCATGCTGACAGGGCAGCAGAGCTCGCACCTTTCTCCCAGCAGGGTGGTCTGCAGAAACCCTCCTGAAACACTTCCCAAATCCATCAGTCATGACATTGCTAATGCAGATGGCTTGATGGAGACAGCTTCATATTTTTCAGATGGAGAAACTGAGTAGAAATGAAGTGACTTAAGGTCACAGACTGAGTTACTATCAAAGGCCAAGACTGGTTGAGTCATTCCCAGCTTCCTAACTTAGTCTTTGATCCCTAGACAAAGCATTACTCTTCCTACGCTCTAAACCTGTTCATCCTTTCTCCTTCTCCTAGTTTAGCCAAGAAAAATAGTAAAGAAAGTCAACAAAATATCTTTTCCCAGAGTAATGAATCCCTGTTGCCCAGAAAGGAATATAATTCATTGCAGCACATTAATTATGCTGTAGGCTAGCATTCCTATAATCTTTCCTATTGTCCTCTTTTCACTGAAAAAGACGTTTTATGTCACATTTCCAGTTTCTGTCAGCATAAAAATTAATGTGCTCAGCAATAGCACCCTTAGATCCTTATTTTCTGACAGAGATCACGAAGGTTATTCTCTGTTCTTTCCAAAATAAAGCCACCTTTAAAGTTCAGAAAAGAGTTTAGCATTTCATGTCAAAAGCAGCATAAGCACCGTGAGTTTTCAGTGGGTGATGGCGAGATCAGGCTGGCAGTGACAGAACTACTTCTGCAAGTCAGCTGCATAATCTACATTTTCCAGGCTCGCTCGGTGTGATTTAGGTGAGTGGAAGACTTATGGCTCTTGGTGGCCTCCTCGTAGCATCTTTTTTGTATATGCATATCCCTCAAGGTGGAGTGGCTTGTCAGGGAATGACTAAATCATAAATAATGGGCTTTTTCCTGTAGCAAAGAAGCTATTTTTCTTGAAGCCCATAGTATCAAAGCCAGGAGATGAAGGCGTGTGCAAGCAGGATACCAGCTCTCTATTCCCCCTGAATACACCCCGCTCAAAGGCAATTGCCAAAACACTGAACGAGTTAGTCATGTACCTGCACAAAAAGTGACAAGGAAGAGGCTGATTTTCAAAGCTACACGTATAGCTCTGTTGGCTTGCAGACAACCTTGTTTATCATAGGCTACCAAGGCAGAAACATATTTGATTATGTAGAAAAAAGTTAACTAAAATGGATGTCAAGGACCAAGACGAAGGTAAATCCAGACTTGTTTCATTTTTTAATTCCCTGAAAAGTAAGTTGGGTGGTGATACAAGCTGCATGGAGCTGGCCAGAGCCACTCGCTCCAGGTACCTGCAGTGCGACAAAGCACCTCCACCTCACTTGAATATAGCTGTGCACAGATGCAGAATAATTAAATCCACATAACTTTTTTCCTTAAGTACCAAAAAGGAAAAAAATCATCACCACTGGGACGTGTGTTTCGGGTTGGTACCTGTCGGCAGCACTTACCCCCAGGCTCAGCACTCACCAGCCAGGGGTCATCCCTAGCCCTTCAGTTTTACACAGCCAAAGGCATTAAAATGCACTTCTTGGGCAGTTCCGGACAGAGCTGAAGAGTGTTTGAGTTGGGAAATTGCGTTTGCAGGACATCTGCCACGGCTGAAATCACAGCAGCCGAGCAGGAAACTGGGCGAATGAACTCCTCCGAGCCACCGCCTCTGTTGGCCTGGGCTTCCTCCCATCCAGACATGACATGACTCAGAGTGCACAGGGATAATAATCATCCAACATTTTCAATATACATTTTTAGAGGCTTCTAGACGTCATTTGACTAAGAGCTGCAAGAGCTAAGCCACCTAGACACCAACAGTGCCCAAAAGGAGTCTAAGCGTTTAAGCAGCTTTAAAAAATATGATGCTTTAAACATTTCAGCGTGGACAAGTGCAGACAGGAGTGCGTTTGATCTCCTTGAACCAGCCAGAAACTAGTCAGCTGCAGTCCAGAAACCCAGCATCACACCAGCACAGCTCCGTGCTGGAGCCACTTTTCTCCATGGGCTCAGGGGTGCAAGACACAGGAATGGGCATCATAGAGGGGGTGGTGCCGGTCAACCTTTTTCCAGGTGTAATACGATCTTCTGAGTTATGGTATTTAACGGGGAAATATTAGAAAGCATCCATATACTGATTTATTATCATCTTAGCTTTGAATTCAAAATGCATTTGCATGGAGACTTTGCAACATTTTTCAAGCCAATGTTACAGCTTGTTACACTGCATTTGGGGGAAAGAGCCACAAGGTAAAATTCACACATATGTAACTCGGCAGATGACCTTTCCTACACACCACATGTACATATTTACAGACTAAATTACTATCTTTTTTTTTTCTTACAGGAAATTAAAAAATAAAGCAACCCTGCTGTTAATTACTGCAGCACAACTGTAGCAGACAGAGCAGAAACCGCATTTAGCACATTTCATCAGACGTGTGTTGCCTACCTAAGTCAATTAATCGAGGCAAAGGGAGCTGCACTGATACCCTGCCTTAGCGTGATTTCCCAGGACTCTTCTGGAAATGAGATGACACACCTCAAGAGATTATTTCCTGCTAAAGTCATTTTAAATAACTATATTAAAAAGCAACTAGAAGTTACAAGTGTAGCCTGGTTCTGTCTTTCACCAGTGGCCCTGCGTATCTTTGGAAGATCCGAAATTAAATGTACCTTAGGTTTGTATTAATATTACCGGGCCAGTTGTCTCCAAGTAAATGTGATTTGGGACAGGGAAGTACAGGCGTGCCTTGCCTCGCCGGTGGGTTTGCCTCTATGGCAGAGGAGGGATGTCAGGAATAATAGCGTCAGTCCTCCTGACAGGCTGCATGCACACTTCTATTGAAAGCACAGGACTATTTTTGTATTAATCAAGAGCAAGATGATTAAATCTGTAGCTTTACAAAGAAGGGGAATTAACCAAATGAAAACATTCATTTCATTACAAAACTTCATGATACTGTAACTTTGGAAACAAAGCCCTTTCTGAACAATCCCATCTGCTCCACTGGCTTGTGCTCTTTGAAATAAACATCTGTTTACACGACGAAGACATGGGTACATTTGTCTCTGTTGGTTTTATCTTACAGACGCATTAAAATGATTTTAAGCGCAAAGTTAAACATCAGATGCTAAAAACGAGAGCGTGGTTTTGAACATTTGTTCATGACTTTGCTCTTCGAAAGGAAGTTTTTTTAATTCCCGATCCAACACCGTTGCGAAAGGACCTTTTATTGAAAGGCATCTCCAGGTAAGGCTTTAAAAAAGCCAGTTCTTCACTCCTGCCCACCTTGGCTAAGCAGTTATTCAGCAGATTCCGTACAGCTGGCAATTCAAATAAAAAGGATTGCTGTTCTGAAGAAAAAAAAAAAAAGAAAAAAGAAAGAGAGAGAGATAAGAAAAGGTAAAATTATGGATTTGTGTATTTGCCTGGACTTGTTCAATATAAAAAGCAAAGCAGAAACACAAAAACGATTTATGACTAGAATGACAAGGAAGAACTGTTATTTGCTAAGGATTCGTCATATTCAAAATCAGATTTTTTCATAGCTTCTAGAAAATTTAACTATGGTATTTCTAGAATAAAATACTGATACTGTTACAATTATGTTTACGGTATGAAATGAAGTGTTTTCTGTGATGTTGACCGGTTGTGACATGTAAAACAGTTTCCCTAGAGCAGCATGCGTGTTTATTGCTGTAAAATGAGATTTTTTTCAGTTAACAATGAAACAGCATCTTGCTGTCACTTGTGTGAACTCATGTAGTTTAAATGACAGATATGAGAAAATGAAAATACGTGTAAAGGAGAAATTTGGGAGAGGAAGCTTTCTGGTAGCTATGACTAGTTATGGTAGTAGTTATGAATAATAATGCCAAAATAGTAATGGGAATGTTTAAAAGTCTGAATTAAATCCACATAGGTTTATGTGCACTTTCCTTTTCCTTGCACCTTACAGCATAAAAACGTAAAGTACATAAAGAGTTTTACAAACTTAAATTGCATTTAAATTAACATTGTGTTTAAAAGGAAACCTCTCCAGGCATGTCTATAGTTGTTCCATGCATCCTTCATCGTATCGTGACTTACCAGGTTGCTGATTATCTAAAAGAAATAGTCTGCCACCATTTCTAACGCTGTCAGTACTGCCTTCTTCCTGCTTGGGAAATGGTTTTATGCAGAGCCACGGGGCTAACACCTGCCTTCACTGGAATTGATGGTAAAATTGCCATTAGCCTCATTAAGATCAGCCGTAATTCAGTGTGCTATTGATTTTATTAATACTGTTTCACACGTAAATTTTTTTTCCCAGTTCTGTGTGACCAAAAGGTTGATGATTGATTCTTTCTGCAAGCAAGAGCAGGCAGGCAGCTCACTGACCACGCAGCCTTCTTTTTTGCCACTGACTGGGATTTTTAGCCCAGACTGAAGTTTCTCCCAGTCAAGAAGAAATACTTTTTGCAAGCAACATAGGCATGGAGAAATCCCCCTTTGAATTTTGCTGTCTCACAACCTATACAGGGACGTATATTACTGAATAAATCACTGCTATTTTTACATGCTGAATATTCATTGATATAAAACAATTAAATTCATTTTACCTATCCTATCATTGCCATAAAGAGAACCATTAAGAAATGTGGCCAGTCAGATGAAGCTGTGTCTAAACTATCTTGATCAGAAATGAAAGCTGATTCAGCATTTACAGAAGTAAAAGATAGAGAAGAACGGGGCGCTGGATGGATTAAGGCTAACAGGAACTTCACATCAATAAAAGAAACAGCCCTACGAGTGACCACCATTCCTAAAAAGATCACCTTGGTGAAAAAATAATGATGCAAAACACATCAGAGGAAATGAAGAAATCGGAACTGTGGCTCCTAGAGCTGATTTTACAGCAATAAAGAAAAGGTGTCTAAAGGGTGTCTAAAGAAGACTTTGTCCAAAGCAGGAAAATTGAACATCATTAGAAATCAAATATCTCATTCCACACTGGCAAAATCTTACGTGGTGTTTGACCAGCAATCTGTCATGGTAACCTGGATGAGATCAGACACTGAAAGGATGTGAGTGTTATTGAAGCAACCTGTTCACTTCGGTTCTACTTTATCTCACAGTTCAATCAAATTCGTATCACTGATTCTATGCAATACTTTTCCATAACTTATATGTAAGAATTTCTCCTACACCTGCACACTAACAGTGACCAATAAATTTACTGGTTTATAAACTAGCTAGCAATAAATTAATGAAATTAATACAAATATCTTATTGTACCTATTTGGTATAACAAGGAATTTAGATGAAATGGAGGAGATTGATTTTTTCTCTTTTCCATACAATATTTCAACTTCAGCAAAGCTCTACACACTCTACATTAAATATGCAGTAGATTTCTCACATGATTATTTTAGAGGTTTGCATATTTTATTAGTAACAAAAACAAAAATTGGGCTATACTCCAGGAAAATTAGGTAATAATATCTAACCAATAGCTTTAATAGAAGAAACTTCTTTCATTTTATAAAAAAACAACAACAACAAAGAAACAAGCAAACCAACCCAATAATTTAAATAAAATAGCCATTTAAAAAACCCCAAACATCTGATCTTGTAGGGAGCATGACTTACCATGGAAGGGACAAGTGGGTAACCCGAGCACACAAATGTCATTGAGATCCAAAGAATGAAAACAAAGTTTAACCTGCACAGACTTCAAAGAAAAACTGAGATCAGTTGAAATCTAAAACAAAACCAAGCAAAGCTACATGCATACACACAGACACACAAACGGTATATTTTCTCCTTATATCAATTAATCTGCAGTGACTTTACCTGATCATTTTTTACCCAGGAGTGTAGATGTATGTACATGCAGTTATGCTACCAAATTCCTCACATATCCTTTCAGTTCTTTCTTAGATGACCATTTTATACCAGAGTTCAGGAGTGAAAATGTCATCAAAGCTGATTTTATTATGACTAATTGGTCCTTGTTTGGCCTTTTCTTCTTGTTAAATGGGAAAATGGCAAGAACACACGTTCAGCTGCCATTATGAAACTACCAATTGATTTCATTTAAAGTGTTCCATTAAAATGTCTCTCAAGTGGGTTTACTGTTAAGTCTGTATCATCATAGCGAATCTGGTCAAAGGTCTAAAGATTGCAAAAATACACTTCCAGAATTTTTTACCACTTCCAATATATCATATTAAGACCTTGTGAAGCCTGGCTGCAAGGGAAAAACAGTAAAAGTGCACTTTAAGTAGAAAGTTCCTTAAAGAATCTTATTATACTCAGAGCAGCTACAGTAGATAGAACAATACATAACGATATATATAGCTTTTTCTTCCCTTTTTCATTTTTTTACATGCTTAGCTTTTAATGCACTCAATTTTTAAGCCTTTTTCCTAGAACTTGAAACTGAAGACATTAATTTCTTCCCTTGCATGCAGACATATCTTAGCCTACGTTAAGTTTATTCAATCAAACCTTCTGTAGGATTAATAAATTCTGCTAATCTCCATCGATGTAGCAAACATTTATGTCCAAGAGCATCATTTGTTACTGCAACAAATTTATTGTGCAACATTTAATTCCAAAACATTTTAGGGGATCCTGTGGTTTATTTATGCAAAGTCCTGTAAAAGCAGTAACAGTCCCACAGAATCTGTGAATGTTGGCCTACACAGGCCCTGAGGGAATGCTGAAAAACATAAAATTCAATATATTTCCTTAGAATGAAAATGCAAAGGACCTTTTTTAAAAAATCACCCACTGTTAGACATGCATGCCAATGACTCAGCAGCCTCAAATGTTGCATTTCCTTCAGTGTTTACACTCAAAACTCAACGTACAAGGGCTCCAGAGGGGAACTCTGGGTGAGTCTTCGGGGAGACCTGACCTGTTATAAATCATGGCAACTTTAACTGGAATGTTCAGCCTCCTGATGTGGATGCATTTCATTCCAGAAAGCAGAAAGCAGTAAGGCCTTCAGATAAGGCCAGAACATACACGGCGGCATGTACGAGCCTTTAACACATTTTATAGAAAAATCTGTAATTTCATCTCAGATGGTGGTTGAATATTTGTTCATCATCACTCTACATGCTGGTGCTGATCATCTCGGTGGTTGACATGGTCCAACGGCTCTTCAAGTACTTTTTAAACGTACGTGTTTGTAGCTGCCAGTAAAGTACTTCAGGATTCTTCAGGACCAACAGGACTACAGAAATATGAGATTAAATTAGCCTCATTAAAACACCAGAGTAAGCAATCCATTTATAAAAACCGTCAAGAGAACATTTGACTATTTGCATATTCAGTATGTGTCCTCTTATTCAGAGAGAAAATCCTTTCCTTTGAATGGAACATCCCGTTCCCAGTCATACAGGACCTCCAACTCCAACCGATAAGCGGATTAGCCCGTGTTTCTGCTGCGAGGAAAAGCACGTCGGGTTGGATTCTGCTTCAGCGTAGTTTAGCGTCAGCTTTCATTGTATCTGCATTTAGTTTAACTCCGTTTTAGTACAGAATTAACCTTCATGCAACATTATTTGCGGAAGACAAGGGACAAGAAAAGCCTTGTAATTAAAGTTCAGGATTTCTGGGTTCCATGTGGAGCTTGTACCTTAGAGTTTCCGGGTAACCTTTTGGGCATTATTGACTTCGGGGTTTTTAAATCATGAGTTGTTTGAGTCCCTGGTGACCTCCCATGGTGCCTGATTGGTACCTCCTATGCTCAGCACCATCACACCCCCCCTGAAACAGTGGATTTGGGCATGTTTCTAGCTCATAAGGTTTGGAGACGAGAGGTGCCCACAGCCTTTCTCTGCAGGCACCTTCAGCACTAATCCCAGGGGGGTTGGAACTAGATGATTTTTAAGATCCCTTCCAACCCAAACCATTCTATGGTTCTACGAGAAGGTGTTGGCAGGCCAACCAAGAGAGGACACCAAGCAGCTCCCAGGGGATCCCAGGGAGACGCCCACGCGGACCCGGACAGGATGAAGATTTGTGGAGTCTGGAGCAAAGCAGCAGGTTACCGAAACTTGGAACAACACGGGAAGACAGCTCTTGTGTGACTTTCTAAGGAAGGACAAAAAGACGATGAAACGCGCTCGTTAAGGATGTTTCACACAGCGGGTGGGAAAGAGCTTCACATGGCAGCAAACCTCCCAAAGACTGCAGAACGAATCACACCTGGCCTGAACGCTAGGAAGAAAATACCGGTTAACCTGAGGGTTCGCGCGTGTTGCATTCATCCTCGTATTACACGCTCACAGTAAGGTCTCAGCAAAACTCGTCAGCCTGCTTTCTGTTCCCAGGGCTGCCTAAAAGTCACCTACGGCAGGCTGCAGTCCCTAGGACACAAGAGGAGACAGGCAAGTAATGTTGGGGGTGTTCCTCCCCAAAATTCAAGGGCAGATTCCACCTTTTCCAATGCTTGGACCAGCTGAGCAGCCACAAACTGCTTTCACACGAGGCAGGCTGCAGTTAGGTGAGTATGAGGCACTGAGACGTCACCAACAACTGGGTTCAAGTTGTGTGTCCACCTCTGGGACACACAGAAGTGTTGTCATCTGAACGGAGTGAACATTCAAGCTCTCACATTTGCTTCTCACTTCCTCGAGTTTATTTTTTCCTAGCGATTCAGGATGCAATTTAACACAACGGTGATCTGCATGCATAAAGTGTATATGGAGATTAAGATACATTCAAGATATTCCCACTTCAGGTTTGGATGAATCAGGTTTAACAGAACAAGTGGCAATTGACATTTCTGCCTTCCCCTCTGTCTGCAGAGCACCCAGTCTGAGGCCTTGCTCCCAGCTAAGGTTCACTGGCAGGAATCATAGGTCATATGAATCATTAAGAACCATAATAAAAATCCCCAGCGTCCATTAAATTTGCATTCTGTGAGAATAAATTGGCAGCAATATCTTCATCTTCCCTGCAAAACCAACAACATCACCTCTTCCCTCCTGCCTGCTTTGTTAAAGAAATTGTGAACTGCATCTCGCTGCTGCTCTTGTTTGGTTCCCCACGAAAAACGTATGAAACACAACACAAAGCTTACTGCTAAGCCTATTGAGCCTTGCAACTTAATAAGGTTAATAAGCCTATAAGTTCGAGAACATGATTTTTCCCTCCCCCATGACTGTAGTAAATCTCAAGTGTTCAAGCTGGCACTGTGTGCCTTTGCTAAGGGATCAAAATAATAAAAATGAAAGCATACACCAAAGACCAGCTGCATGGCCCACTGGTATAACCCCAAACATTGTAAAACCATAGCAGGTTAGTGGTCTGGAGAAAGGCAAGGTGCTAAATCTCACTGTTCCCCTCTCGGATGTTCACAGTGAAACCTCAGCATGGCTTTTTTTTGGAGACAGCCGCCTTGATATTCTGCGCTGAGCTCAAAGCTTTCCTTGCTTTCAAGAACATCAAGAAACCAAAGAGCCAGGACGGTTTGCTTTGAGATCATAGCAAGGTGCAAAATGGAAATTAATCATACTCACAGCCTATACATCTGTTCCTGACTCAGTGATAATAAAAAATCCCAGCAAGACACAAAGACAGAAGAAAAACAGAAGTCAGAAAGCGGGTTTATTCCTTCGGTCGTTATTGCTGTGCTCTCCCTATAGAGCAAGGGCACTCACCCAAACCCCTGGCTTGCACCACTGAGATCTCGTCTACAGAGGCACAAAGGACCTAAAAAGCTGCAATAGAGGCACACTTGGCTATTTCTGGGCATTTCCCTGCCACAGCTGTTTCTAATCCCATTAAACTTGGTTATGATCCAGAAAGAGCATGTCCCTGGCTGACCAGGGTCAGGGTTTGTAAGGCCAAGTGGTGCAGCTGGGGGCAAGCACAGCTCTTGTCTCCCCTCCTGCCCTGGTTCTGTGACGGGGCAGCAACTGAATGACCACTCCACGAGCACGGGACACTCGTGCCCATGGCCTGGAGCCTCTCCTCTCTGTTATTTACTCTGCTCCTGTGCCGAGCTGTTTGCACAGGAGTGCTCTCCGCGGAGGAGGCGATAGTCTCATCAAAGGTCAGGTGCATATTTTCCGAGTCCACCGAGGCCCGCATCGGCTGCTGTGGATAAACAGCTCTGCGTTCCTGTTTAACTCCAGAAGTTCTCCGGGAGAGAGGCTTTTATTGAATTTCGTTGTGCTTGCCAGCGCTGCCGCCTGCGAAGTCCTGCGAGTGCTGCACTGCTCCAGCCCCTCGCAGACAGGATGGATCCTCCGGCACCACAGCCCTCACTTAAAAGATGCACGGCTCCTTTTTAAAAACTAATTTTCAATGCAATTCCACTCAATTCCCCCCACCTAAGCCTCTGTTAGCAACGGCTGAGGCTCCAGCAATACGCTGTCTGACACGCAGGGTAAGAAAATCCAAAAGGCATTAAGAAGCAGCACTGCCCCTCCTGCCTCCCACTCCGGAGGGGCGTTTTGGTCTGCTCGCTTGGCCTGGACAGAGAGCAGCCAGGCAGCGGGCAGCAACCGAGTGGTGTTAGGCTACGTAAGGAACAGGGTGCAAGATCTCTGGACACACAGATAACGTGAACCCCAGGGTTTGGGTTGCCACCCGATTCCATAGCACTTCTGCGTCATTGGAGCTGTGCACTGTCACAGCAAAGGGGACGAAGCTGCAGCCTGATCCTCCCATGCCAGAAGGAGAAACGATCTTTAAAGTCACGTTTTCCATCCTACCTCAGACAGGAACTGTCAGCTGCGTCACAGTCACCATCCTCAGGATTTGAAAGTCTAATCATCATCTATAATTATATATATTCTCCTTCCTGGTTACAGCCAACGTAGACAGGGACGATGTGGGCAGTGACAGGATGAGTTTCCTTACCTGGGTCTGCCAGCCCCACTCCCCGGCACGGGGCAGAGCTGTTGACTGCGTCAAACTGCGCCGTGAGGTAAAACCTGAGCCTGCGATACCAACCATCATCGTCTCCCACAGACCGCGGCGCGTGCCACCTTGCAGCTCCTCTGCCAAGAGCACAAACGTCCACACGACTTCTGCTGACACCACCACGTTCCTGCTATATCCTGTGGGAAATGACAGAAATAATGCATTTGGCAACAACATATTTAAACGTGGCGGAAAACATTTCTGCTTTATAGATGCTGTTGCATTTTTGTCAGATTCCTTTGCACGCCTTCAGAAAAACAATCTGCATGAAGTACAACATGAAAAACAAGCTCTCATTATTCTCTGTGCACCACCACCAAATGTTAAAGTCATTTGATAATTTATCTGGAGGGAAAAAAAAAAAAGGCAGAGCAGACAAAACTTACTCAACCCATTAAGGGGAGGCTCAGCAACTGAACAGTGGTGGTAATTAACATTTTTGCTACGCTTATTTGTGCGTGCCAACATAATTTATGGATTCAGAAATTTCTCAAATAGATCCTACAGGAAGCTGCTGCCTAAGAAAAGATGTCAGCGCTGAGCTAAAAAGGCACCTGTCAAAGCCGAAACCCAATTTCTGTTCAGATGCAACAAAGATCTCGATGATCTGAGAAAGCCTGAATCGTTGTTGAAGTAGAAGCAAGAAAGAGAAAAGAGCCTAGATAGACAAGAAAAGGCAAAGTTTTTTGAGGAGAGTGAGGAGAAAAGGATGTAGGAAAGTCTGATGTGACTTAAGAAGAAGAGATCAAACTTTAAAGGGATCAAACTTTAAAGGAGTGAAGGAAAACTAACATAAATAGTATAAATACTAGGGAATAGGGAGAGTTGGGTGGCTTTGAAGGGCATAAATTTTATATATGCTATTGCACTGTATCTCAGCATTCTCCAATGGGTAAGGCTAAGAAAGACAAGGAAAAAGGTATCAGATAGTTTTTATTACATTAAGATGCCAACAGAATATTCTGGCTCAAGGAAGTTCACATATTTTCATCTACAGAAGCTCAGCACAAACCCATTTTTTCTGCTCTCTATGTCCTTGAGATGTCATACCAACGAACACCATGTCATTTGGGAATGGAAAAAAGGGAGTGACGTAGGGCTAAAGTTAGTCACGGTAGAACAGCTAACCCAACGCAACAATTACAGTCGGGAGGCAAATAGCAGGACACCAACCTGGAGACCCATAGCGACTGCAAGGTCAGTGGGGGACACAGAGGATGAGAAATGCTCAGCGGGACACTCACCATCCACAGACGGGGCAGAAAGGAGTGAACTGCTCACACCTGAGCTGGTTTTTATGCAATCTGGCGTGACCTTCAGGACGGAAAACAGGTCAGCTGGATGTAAAACATTTGTCCACGGTCTCATTTCGTCTGCAAACAGTCCTGGTCTGATCAGCTGGGAGAGATGCAAAGTTACCTTTCGCTTGGCAGAGAATTATAAGAAAATGTTCAAATCACAACTCAGGGGTGGCTCATTTCCTTCTGAACAGGCAACATTTGCGAGGGAGAAATCTCAGCTGTTCACAGATTAGCTCTTGGCATTTCAGGAGAAGGGTAAGATGCCAGTTTAAATTTGTGACACGAGACCTAAAGTACCATTAGGAAATAAGTGGCTACATCTGGAACAGCAGTCATCATTTGTAGGAGGTGAGAGGACACACCTTTTTTCTCCAAAATGCAGAGCATTTCCCATCTGTTCTCCATGCTCTTCTAACTCACTGCTATTTTCTTTCTACTTGTCTGTGCCACTTAAATAAACAAGGATACTGCAGCCTCTTTAAAGGAGCTGTTCTTTTCCCCAAAAGCCTTTTGATAGGAAGGGTCTTCTCCGTAACGACCTACTGAACAGAAAACAAATAGGCAGTGAACCCTAGAGCAAGCTTCTCACTGTGAATATACCCGTGCTCTCAACGCTGGTAGGAAGATAAAATCAAGGTACGAGTCTGCTTTGCTCTACAGGCAGCTGAGACACTGAGGTGGTCCCAGGTATCAGGTACCGCTCGATGCCTTTGGTACTCCATGACTGAGGGAAAGGAGCTTCACTACCTTGCGAAATGCCAGCCCTGGATCATTACCTGGTGACTGCTGTTGCTTATAAAGGTCCTCAAGTAGGGGAGAGGTAATGCTGCTGTCATACAACTCGGTGCTCGAGCTGACATTCCTTTTGTCTGAGCATAAGCTAGTGAGGAGCATGATTTCCCCTCGTGTTCTCCTCTTATAAAATGCTTCATCCAAAAATATCACATGTCAAAAGAGAGAAGTTTTGGTTTTCTCACTGAAAACCTGTTGCAGCTTACTGGATTTTTCTTGTTCTGTGCAAGCATGTCTTAATACCTCATCATGTTTTAACTCCTCGAGAAGTTATACCTGCCCCCTTATTCCTCTGTGTTCTCCTCCTCTTATAAAATGATTCATCCAAAAATATCACATGTCAAAAGAGAGAAGTTTTGGTTTTCTCACTGAAAACCTGTTGCAGCTTACTGGATTTTTCTTGTTCTGTGCAAGCATGTCTTCATACCTCATCATGTTTTAACTCCTCGAGAAGTTATACCTGCCCCCTTATTCCTCTAGTACTTGCATTAATACCTAATTTACAAAACTTGTCTCTCTCCCTGTCTCCACCTTGTAAATCCCTCTTTTAGCACCAGCATCTTCAGGGTCTTTTTTCCAATCCATACCCCACCCCACAGCCACTAGCTTGGGAGGTAACCAACTGCTACTTCTTAATCCAGAGTCCAGATTACTATGAATACACACAAAATCCAGTATTAGCAAAGGTAATACAGTGTCACTTCCTGGGGAATAGGAAAGGCCACGAATGCTGAGGATCAGGATTGTTCTCTGTGGACAGGACAGTGGATGTTTTCTAGCTACTTACTGCAGAGTTTCATTGCTCTGGTCTCACAGGAAAAGTGTTGCAGACACAGTACATGAAAAGGACCAGCTCTCCATTCAGCTTGACACTATATTGACTGCCAGAAGCAAACATGTACTCCACAAAAAACCCTGTGACTCTCTTTTCCTTCCGAAGAGCCTGCCTGCTGACAGCCAGTTCTTTCATTCGAGCAGTAAAAGTTAATGCTTTTAAACCCAATTCCCATCACACACGTACACAGAAAAAATCACATGGTGGACTTCAGTATTGCACTTTTCAATAAAGGCTGAGCGAGCCCAAGCTGTGAGGAGTGAAGACAGACAGGGTATAACTTTGAAAGGGGCTGAGGGCTTCATTTTAAAAGCAAGGAGGACTGTGAGCAGAAGGACTGACTGCAGCAGCAAGGAGCACACCTGAATTAACACTCCAGGGAAGCACCCCACGCATCACCCCCCTGCTCCCCAACGCTGAATAACCATGTGAGTATGGTGGGACTCAGGCCACCTCAGTGGGGTTTATGGGCATAGGGACCATGACCCCAGGACAAGGGGATGCTTCTCTGGGTGCTGCCTGAGCACCGCCTCCACTAGCTCCGGGATCCCCGCGCAGGGCTCCAGCACCCAGTGTGGGCCTGCCCTTCGTCATTGCCTCCCGAGATCCGAGATGCTCCAGACTACTGCAACCAATTAGGAATAAGCGACTGAGAAAGCGAAGCTCGTGCACTTCCCAGTCTCTTTACTGCAGCAGGAACACCAGGACCATGTTACATGTAAGAGATCCCTTGAAACTCAAGTAACTCTACAGTTCTCTGCCTTGCCAAATTTCATAATGTCAGCATCATCTAAGCCAACAGGACAGGAGCTAAAAATACTCGGATTCAACCCATTGCAGGCTTCTGATATAAGAGCAGAGTCTCTTAACACGTGCTCTTTGGAAGTGTTGAAGCTTGTGGCCTTAGGGCATGTCTGTACTGTGGCATACCAAGGCTCGGATACCGATAACTGCGCATCAAAGACGCGACCACGAGGTGCAACCCGAAGATTTCCCATTTCCCTGGAACGATTCACAGTTCAGCACTACCGTGGTTTCTCGGTGTCCATCTGAGTCAACACGTGAGCTCTCAGTGCCAAATGACACACTATTTTCTTAGGCCACATCAAATCGCTTCACAGTCCTTGCAGTTCACAAGCTGTAAACTGGCTAATTCTGTTCCAAATGTCAGAGATGGGAAACACAGAAGCCTGATAGCTTTGAGTTTCCCAGGGCTGTTTTCTAACCTACAACCTCTCCCAAAGCCCCGCTGACTCATTTGGGGTGGCGTAGCATAAATAGAGGCTAGGGATGGATTTTGAAGAAGAGGACACTGTGTTTAGGTGGACTTCATGCTCCCCGCTAGCCTTTTGAGCTCAGTCCCATTTTCTGCAAGACTGAATGCAGTACAAGAACGGAATCATACAATCACACAACAGTTTGGGTTGGAAGGGACCTTAAAGATCATCTAGTTCCAACCCCCTGCCATGGGCAGGGACACCTTCCACTAGATCAGGTTGCTCCAAGCCTCATCCAGCCTGGCCTTGGACACTCCCAGGGATGGGGTATTTAATAAAATGTATTTAGTACCCTTTTTTCTCTCTGCATAAAGGGATTTTTTGGTTTTTCCCTTCGTAATTTTAGCCACGTGGGGGTTTTGACTCTTGTATCACTAGTACCCTCTTTAGAAAGGGGTAGTTCCTGGTTCACCTGCCCATCTCTGGACCCTGAGCCACGTGTTTCACTGTGTTCACAGAAGCCATCATCCGTCAACCATCCATTCAATCCCAGCTGGCAGGTTGTGACCGGGCTATGTATCAACCTCAGCAGTCAAACACTCTTTGTACTGGACAACACCAGACACATGAATGACCTTAACTTCAAGAGGAAATATCCCAGACTCATCTATATTTGCTTTTTTAACTTCCACAAAGCATGGCAAGGCGCATTTGCTGATTGCAGGCTCTGTAGCATGAAGAGACGCTGGCCAGGCAAGCCCTGCACCCTGCTGTGGATGAAGATGTTACAGTTGCCTGGGAAACCGGTCCATGGGATCACTAAAATGTATTCTATATGTTTGCCTTCAGATACAAGATTATCACCTTGTGTATGAGCAGTGTCAGGAGAAAATCCTGACATGGGATAAAGTTAGACTGTAACCTGCAGAAATCAATTAACTCTTTTACAGTATTAGCTGAAATTTCACAGAGCTAAACCCAATATAAAATGCCTCAGTGTCCAACATCAACCAAATCTTCCCTGAAAGAGTGAAGGTGGGTTACAGCTGGAGGATCTCATTCCTCAGCAAAGGACACAAGGTTTAAATCCTCTGGTGTATTTTTAGAAGGTGAAAGAACTGGCTGAGGAGAGACAAGTATCTATAATCCAAGGAGATGGGATTATTCAAGGACGGAGAGTATTTAGCTAGATTCAGTATTTGCAAATTTAGACTTTTTTCTTCTATTTTTAGAACGAACACATTCAATATTTGCAGAAGGAGCACCAGTAGCCATCAGGTAGCCAAAAACCAGCCACAGATAGATGGCGGGGTACAGCATCTGTTTGCACTTTCTCATAGCAACGGGCAATTCGGGACCAAGAAGTCAGAGCCCTGCCACACCCTTTTCCCAAGGTTTTCTCTGTTGCCACAGTTATGACATTGCACACAAAACCCCACAGACTTTATGGTGAAGAAATTCCAGGAAAAGCTGGCAAATGCTACCTTGGGGGGAAAACAGGTTTAATAAATAGTAGGAAGGAGTAAGGAATTAAGGTTAGGTGACATTTTATTACCACTTAAAAAATAAACAAAACAGGACTGTGCTGTGTCTAAATATGGTGGGGGTATGAGACCGGTTTTAGAGGAGAAAGCGCAATAAAGAAAAGAATATTGCTCAAAAATTCCTATTTCTGGCAGCAATTTAAACAAAGAATCCTGTATAATTTCACTGCCTGCTTACCTTCAATCAAAAAACAACACTGTGCTTTAATTTCTCCTGTGGGTGTACTCAGCTCTTAAGTTAAAATCCAGGCTTAATATCTCCTACTCATAATTTAGGTCACGGGCTGGGAAGCAGCACAGGAAATAGAGAGAAATGTCAAGCTTTGCAATGGATGCTAAAACTCCATCCTGTGCTCGAGGCTCCCAGGGCATCAACTGCACACACTCCCCTGCTCTGAAAGAGCCAAGTCTTGCAGCCAAAAAAGCAGCTGAAATCCCTACAGGATTTAAAACCCGAGTTACCAGGACTTTGCTAGGGTCTGTCGTCAATCGCTGAGGCTGCTCGACCGGCTAAGGTCAGCAAAGAATCTGTTCTGCTCGTAACTCTGAAAGTCTCGTACCCTGCGGGCAGCTTAAAAGGCGGCAGACTCAAGTGAGGGGCAGAGCTTGGAGCTCAGCAGTGCTCCGCTCGCAGCGCTCCGCTCGCAGCTTCGCTCTTGGGCAAAGGTCAGACAGGAGCGAGGGGGAATGCCAAAGGAGTCACTGGGATCATGCAGTTCACGTGCCTGGGAAAGGGAATTAAAAAAGGTGTTTAAATAGCAGATTGCAACAGTACCAGTCAAGAAGCATGCTGTTTTTTGCCTTTTTTTCCAGTCTGTGGCTAGCGTTCCAGCCTTTCACATACAAACTACCCACAAAACAAACCACCCTTCCATCCACTCCTGTCTCTGTTACACAAATTGCGGGGTTGCGTTCAGTCTTTCAGCTGTGGTACTGTATATCATTAGAATTACACATACTGTTATCATTCACTGCTGTGTGACTATCTACAGTTTATTATGCTCGCCCTCATAGACGCCTAATTACATTGCACAAGGCTATAAACTCCACGTACTGGAGGATGTAAGCATCTTTCCTCTTGTATTTATTAAATTGTGTTCATACACATTCTTACTAATTTATATTGCATCTTTCTTGTTAAATGTAACAGCAAAATATAATCGAGTTTTCCACTCCTAATGCTGATTTTTTTATTGCCTAAATATACCTGGATGAAGTGTTTTATGTCAGAGAATCATCTGGATTCTCAGACGAGTAAGGGAGAGTGGTTTTTGCTAGGTCACCATCAGGCCTGTGCAGAGATTGTTCTGTCCAACTAACAGAACATGAAGCTAAAAACACAGCCAAGTTCTTCAAAACTGCACGCACAGAATTAAACTTGCAGGAAATTGCGTGCAATTGATTCCTAACATGTATTTTAAATATAACTGCTTCTACCTTTTTTTAGAATTTCAGCTCTGGCTTGATTTGACTGAGGTTTTCACTATGCAATGCTTCAGGAGAAAATGTTAGAAATAATTAGTCACATCAGAGGCAAAGATGCCACGCTATTTTAGTTTACATCCGATGGTACTGGGGAGAAGACAGGATTTTGTGTGCCCCATTACCAACCAGACTCTGTATGGTTGGAAAAGAAGAGAAAAAAGAAGAGAAAAGAAAAATAAAAGAAGATAGAAGAAGAAGAGAAAACTCTATTTTGCATATTTTCTTCTGCTTTTAGCATTAGTTTTTAGTAAGTTTAGTAGCCTAGTGCCAGTCTGACAGACCAGACAGCGGAGATGAAGCAGCTGCCAGACTTTGCTGCCAGCATCCTCGACAGTGACCCAAAGGGATGACTTCCAGGGGTTGGGATGGCAATTCCAACATCCCTGCTCCGACAACAACTTGGCCTCACAGCAAGGCCTGCCAATAAGGCTGTCAAATTAGCACTTAGTGAGATGGTATCTTGTGATGCGGACTTTTTTCCTGTAGGTGAGAAAACCTATTTCAGGCTGGGCATCAAAGAGCCACGATCGACGCGGGCTGGAGAGCTGTATTAGCCACCCGGGGGGAGAGAATCGATAGCCAGCAACCAGTGCCTGCAGATCTCCAACCCTCTCTAAGGGCTCATTTTAAAAACAAATACAGCTTCAAGATATTATCATGATGCAGGGATGTCAACGATGCCACCTAACCAACTCTTACGCCCTATGGCTAATTTTTTTTCACGTGTTTAGGCACTTCAAATAAATCCCCTAGCACTGCTGGCCACTGCCAAAGGAGCCACAGAGGGACTCTGCACTACCTCTGGTCCTACTGCAAAATCTCTGCGGCAGGAGTACAGTCACGCCCGAGCCCAGCAGTTCTCTTTTACCTCCTTTTCTCCTGCAGACAAAGCTGAAATACCCTGCAAGAGCTCCATGCCACTGGCGGACAGGATCTCAGCAGAGAGCTCCGTGAGAACAGTGTTCCAATTCAGAGGAGAAAATGACTGTTACCCCAGGAGTACAACATCCCATGCCAAAGAGTAAAGGAAAATATAATCTGTGAAGTAGGACAGAAGTTCTTTAGTTTCGCTACAAGATATTTTGTGATGAAGCTTGGCAAGTAACCAAACTGAATGTCAAGTAACTGGATAAACCACTTTCACTTATTGTTGGCCAAGCCATAGTTTTTTTTATAACCACATTTTCTTCTCTGCAAATAAACTTCCCCACACATTTGTCAGGAAGAGTGAGGCAGGAAAACATAAAGCTATAATGAAGAAGCAATCTGTGCCCATTTCTAGGCAGCCAGGTCAAAGACATCAGCAGTTTCTGGAGAGAATTCTGGAGGCTGGTTAAAACCCCTAAAAAGTGACAGGTTTCCTTTACATCACATCTGTTGCTCCACTTTCCTGTTGTTCTGCAGAGCAGAAAAATGCCTGGGCTGAAAGGCCCTTGGAAAATAATGTGATGGTACTGCCTTGGGGGATGCTGGTGGAAAACTCTGTGTTCCTCTGCCCATGGAAAAATCCATCAGCAATTAAGACTTTTGAACTTTATGCAATTATTTTATTCTGTGTTAAGTGGAAAAATAGGAATAGAGATTCATTGTGCATATCTCAGTCCTGTGTTTAGCCCCAAAAAGGATTTAAGTTCGATAGCCAGGGAGACCGTATGTCAACAAACATGTGGGCTCTGCATGTTACAGACACATTATAAAGCAGATTATTTTGGGAAATAGCTGAGAACTTCAAGCAATTTGGGAAATGCCTGAAAACAGTAAGCAATTGCCAATGAAGTGCCTAAGTTATTTGAGATTATAATTTCAAGCAGGTTTTCGATATTATAGGGTCCTTTGTACTTGCTTCTAAGGCTGTGCGATTTATCTTGCACTCTATCATTTATCTTGCAGTAGTACATATCTCTTAGCAGAGCCTACATTTATTTTCATAATTAGGAACATTGCAGTGGTTTGATTTTGTTTATAACATTTGCATCTGTTTACTTGAAATGTCTTTGAGCCAGTACAACTACATCTTACACAACCCTGTCCTGCAGTGGCAGAGAACGGGAAAACACTCTGGCAAAGACTTCAGCTCATCAGTTGTATCAGTAAGAGGTCCTCAGAGAACCAATTTAAACTTATTGCTGGAATCGGTCCCATGAAGGACTCCATTTGCCGGCAGCAAGCAGGTATTGACCATTCCTACCCGTCTCTAATGCAATGCCCTGACCACAGAAATGGGGATGGACACGCTTTCTGCCTGAGATTTCAGCTAGAAAAGTATGTATTAAAGTGATTACCTTGGAAAGTATGTTTTTTCGGTCTCCCTCCAGTTTTCTTCTGGAACAGAGAGTAGACAGCTTCTGGGGGAGAAGTACAGGGCTGGAGGTCATGACTCTTGAGGTGAGAGTTGGCTGTAGGTTCAATGACGATAGAAAATTCTAGGATTTCAGAAGTGGTGGCAGCAACCTGGACTTTCCCAGCCTATCAAATAATTTAAGAGAAATTATTACAATGAGAAAGTCAATTAGGGAAAACACTGACATACAAAGATGTTCTCACATGAGAAGTAAAGGGTACTTGGTCCCAAACTCAGCTAAAGCACATGGCAGTGACGTCCTTTTAAATATCTGCATCAGCTTGCTTTACATTTCTTTGTGTAGCTTATCATTATCAACAGCCTGAGCATGGGTCTGTGCTGAATACCCTAATTCCAACAACAAAGGTCGCACAAGAATGCCAAAACAAAAAGGTGCAAAAGAATGTCCATAAAGATAGATTTCAAAATCTATCAATAACATCAATTATTTTAGGAAGGGCTGGAGAAATGGAGGCATTCCACACAGTGACTGAATGAAATAGTCAAACAGCACAACACACCGCTTGCAATGACAGTCGTAAAGCGTTCACAACTTTTAATTACTCTGCCAAATGTCTGTTTTCACGACGTGTTTGCAGCGAAGTCGGCTATACAAAAGCCTGCAGATACACAAAAACCTGTGGCTTTCCATGTGCTAAGAACTATTGCCAGCTCCTCGCTGTAGGAACAGGAGTTCGTGTAGACGTGTCTAAAGGTCTTTATTGCTGTCTGTACAGACATCTCCCAAGTCAATTCACACAGAAAATGGGGAAGAAGTGGAAAAACAACAAGGCAGAAACCGCAACACAATAATAACTCAGCCCTTCCAGTATTAAATTCCGAGATGCGGAGGACAATGAGGACAGAAATGATGGATGAAATAAGTGGGTTTATAGTAGCAGCATCAACAGGAAAAGCTAATATCTGTTTTGTGTTGCAGTTAACAAGCAAAAGAGTATTGGCGTGTGAAAGGGAGTTAAGGCGCAAATGCCCTAAAACGGCTTTGCCACAGAAATGATGCAATGGAGTAATGAAGCCAGGGCAGGAGCAACGCCTGCGGCCATCGAGGCCATGTGGGGGGCAGCAGTTCATCGCGGCACCCTGAAGGGCAGCACCCTGCAAGCCGGGAGGGACAGGGTGTCCCTGCCAGCTGATGGAGTCTTGTCCCGGTGCTGCTGTTACTCATTATCTCCATGCATCATGCCAGGGAATCCCAATCAGGTATGAGGGATGGGCTGCACTTGGCATTATAGGGAGTAAGAAAACGCGTCCCTAGCTGTACCTGACTTTCTTTGGAGGGTAGCTTGAGCCGTTCCTGCCAGCACACACTCCTCTCAAAGATCAGGTGTCCCCAGAAACGAAGCACTGCATGAACATTGATCATAATGATAATTATTTTGCAATTTGAAGAGGAACATTTTTTTAACATCAGACAACGGCGGATAACGGTCCTTTTCCTGCCAGCTTTCACCAACGGTCACAACAAACCCAACGTAGCTCATGTCTGCGTGACAGGATCTCCCTTCCTGGGAGATGTTCCTCAACAGCACTGAGTGAAATCCCATTGGAGATGGTGAATGAAGACAGGAAAGGATTTCTTACTCAAGAGAGAAATCTTCCTCGTACATGTGTCACACAACAGGAAGAAGCCCAGTCAGCCAAAACTGTGTGGTTATTTTTACAAATGGGTTTCTGCACCCAGCAGAGCTTCCTCTCCTGACGGTGCCTGATGGACCTCTCCTTCCCTCTCCCGAACATTGCTGCCCTGCTCCAGGACAGCTCCCCTTTTATCCTGAAGCATCTGGGCTTTACAACTCCCCAGTAATTTTTTTCCCTGTTGAAAAATGTCGTCCCACATGTCCCTATTTTTTCTAGACTAGCATGGAGGTCCAAAACCACTAGAAATGGGTATGGGGTGGAAAACTCCACCTCACTTTTTTTAATTCTCCTGCTTCCCCTCTGCAATCAGGTGCTTTGCCCAGGCCCTTGCCTGCCTTTTACTGGTTCCTGTCAAGGTGGCGCATGTCCATTGCTCTGGAGCAGACACCGAAGGGATTCCTGGATTATTGAAGGGACAGATGGTCTTGGAGCGAGCTGCACTCAGTCCCACCAGCGCTGCGGAGGTTTTTCTCTGGCTGCGGTGGTGCGCTGGCGCAGGAGTGCAGATGCCAACAGTAATTTCTAAATGCGTTTAGACTCAGTAAACTACCTGCCTATTTTGCACCCTCTCGGCCCACGTCTACAGCTCACTGTGCCCAGGTGGTGCCTGCAGGCTCAGACCCTGGGTCACTCCAGGACCGCTGAAGCCATCTTAATCAACAGCATTAATTCCAAGGTGGTGGAAAAGAGGATTTTAGAAGACATCAGTGATGGCTATGAAATGTAACAGTTAAAATGCCATTTCCCTGCCTCTACCAGAGCTGTTACATCACTGCCTTCCAAACATAACACACAAAGGTGGTATTTTGGCAGCAGTGGGGCAGGCAGCTCAAGACGTGCACGAGCGGTTAATGCATCTGTATGCCAGAGTACTCTGAGCCAGATTTTTCTCCCACTGAGGTTAATGTGAAAACCTCTTCTGATTTCAGCCATGCAGAGTTGGAGCACGCAGGTGGTATTTATCCAGTGTATAAATGAGAGATTGCACAAGCGTGTCTTCTGACTGCACTCAAAATTGCATGGCAAACTATGTCAGGAGCATCAGCTTCAAGAGCCACAACATTAAAAACACAGTGAACAATACCAAAAGGGAAATGAAACTAGTTCCTAGGTACTAACATCCTGGGAGAGAAAAAACGGTATGAAAAAACCTTGAATTTCTATGGGTTTAAAACTCTGGTGGCAACAAAGCACCTATAACCATTTAGACTGATTTCCAGAAAGACACGATTGTTCCTCCTGACAGGGTGTTGAGTAAAAAACACACTTTGGGGACACAGCCTGAAACATGACAATTGGTCAGAGGTGCTTCATTGCTTAAAACAGATGATATTTGTTTATATAAAGGTCTAAGTGAAATTTTCTCTCTGCCAGTGCTACTCAACAGGTTCCTGATCTCGAGTAAGTGGAGCGAGCAGTCCATGTGACAGATAAATATGAAGTGCAGGGCAGGCAGAGTGTAAAACTGATCAAATGGAGTGCAAAATGAAGAAAACAGAACTTAAATTTTAAGGCTCCTATCTGAGCAAAACGTCTTTAAAAAGGAAAGACTCAGAAATGCCGTGATGCAATACACACCTCCGGATGGGACTATTTAAGGGTATGATAAGTGCATGATGTTGCCATTACTATCAAAGCATGCACATGCAATAGCAACATGCAGGAACAGGTAGACATATTTTGGGGGAAAACATTTTAAAATTTTGCTATCTAGGATGAAGTTTTCTAACACATGCATTGAGCTAAAGCAGCGTGGTCTCTATTTCAGCACTAGACAAATTATTTACATATGATAAATAACTCACTCCTCCCTGAATCCTTCCTAATAAGTAAATAAGTACCCTTGAAAAAAAGGATTATTTTAATTTACCTAGAGAAAAGCATCTTGATTGCTTACAGCTTTTTTTGAAGTCCTTTAGATCTTCCTTTAAATTTGCTGTTTATGTTCCACGAGCAAAGATCACTGTCAGGTTTGATGCTGCCCTGCAGGAAAAGGCCACAGAGAAAGAATTTTCCATTTTTTGAATTTAAGAGCAAATTTTAAGATTTAAAATTACTTTAATACTCCTAACTAATCAAGGCAGAGTATTTATAGATTAGAATCAAAACAGATCTACATTCCTAGGAAAGCACGTTTCAACGCATATCCTGAAAAGAAAAAGCAGAAGGGAAAGAATATGAAAAATAACAACTACATCCCCTCTTCCAGAACTTGAAAGTCAGAAATTCAGATAAATTATGAGATATCTAGCTGCTATAAGGCATGCCGATCCATTAAAACCATAGGTGGGAAACAACAAATGACCATGAAATACAAAAGGTTGAGATTACCACCATGCCACTCCCCCATCTCTTTCTATTAATTACTTTTCTGGTAGTACAACAGAAGATCTACATTTTTCACATGAGCTGTTGGAGCGTATGAAGTTCAGTGACGTTCGTCTGCAGCAAAGGGGCTTCCAGAGTGGTGCCTTGCCTGTGCTATGATGCTCCCCAAACTGGAGTTCTGAGAAATGAAAGCAACAACGTGATTCCTGTAAGAAAATAAAATACCTGTTGAAGCACAGAGAGTATTTAATCACATATTTTCTGCTTATTAACTTAAGGACAATTTTTTTCCCCAAAAAACTAACTGCAAATCCCTGACAGATTATTTTTTTTTTTTTTTTTTAATGCATTTAACCCAAGCACCAAGAAAAGATGAGAAAATGCTGTGCTGGTCATGGACATGTGAAGGTCCTATTTTATCCAAGGGAATGGAAAACAGAAACGTTGAGACATAAAGGTTTCTCTTCAATGACAGACGTAGGGAGGGTGCAGAAATAGCCAGGTGAAACGATTCAGGGTGCACAGCTCATTCATAACCTCTGTCCAAGGCCGTCACGGCGCCGAAAGCCTGGGGCACCGTGGAGACACACAACAGGATACTGGCAAGTGTCAAATCCATCATCCAGAGAAAAAAGAGGAGGAAGAGTTGGAGAGGCTCTGCGGAGGTCTGGCTGGGACAAGGAGAAAAAGGTCTTCCTGGGACATTATCTCACCGTGTCGCTTTCTACCATCCACATTTCAGAGATGTCAGATACGATCTCGGCAGCGGATGCAGTGGGACTTTTTGTTTCCTCTGGAACGGTGTTCCTAATTGTCAGCAAAGTCCATTTCACTCTTCGTCAGCTCCGCACACGGCAGCGGGGGTTTAGAGGAACTCAACTGCGGTCAAAGTCGCATTGAAACTGAGGTGAAAAGCAGTTTGGTTTCAGAGGAAACGAGCACAAAAAGTGCTCCTGGAAGATCTGAGCACGGTTCTTGGGGAGACAAGAGTCAAAGTAAGAACATCTCCTTTTACTCAGCTACTGAGCTGTTTTACCAAACTGCTTAATACAATTCAAAAGTGTGCCACTGAACATATCTGTCAGGATAAAGACTACATTTTTAGTTGTCCAAATCACTGATTCTCAGACCTTGCACA